AAATTAGTATTATTAATAGTAATTTATATAAAATAAATTATTTGGTTTGATCTGATTTTTAAAATATAAATATTCATTTTTTTTTTTTTAATAAATTATTCATATTAAAATGTCTTTATCTGAAGAAAAATTTATCTCATTTAGAGATTTTATCCGTGAGATAAATGATCTTATTACCAATAAAAAGAAAAGAATTCTTTTATTGAATAGACTTCGAAATGGAATTGAATTAATCAAACAAAGTTATGAAAATAAAAGAATTTATGAAGGAAAAATAATAGGAACTATAACAATAAATAAAACTAAAATCGATAATATAATTTTTACAAAACATACAATTCCATATAGAGAATATAACAATAAAGAATTAAAAGAAATTAACTAATTGAATTTAATTCTTGAGATGTGTGATAATATCAATAAAGATGATAATATTGATCAACAAATAATATATAGTCAAAATCACGAATTATTTTTTGATGAAATAAATAGAAAATTAACAAGTCCAATTAAAAAAGAAACCGAATTTACTGAACAACAAATAAAAAAAGTTCTTGATGATTATGAAGATATAGAATATAAACATGAATACTTGAAAGAAAAAATAGATGTATTACCTGATTATGGGTTTAAACGATTGATATTATTCTATTATTATTATATCAAAAATGATACATCTAATGAATTTAGATTTTGGGCTTATCATATTAGTGAAATGTATAGAAGTGAAGCATATATTAGAACATTCTTTAATATTAATTATACTATTTTAAATGAATTTATTAATTTAGAAGATCTTTCTTTACTTTTATTAATGACTAAAATTGGATTTGATTATAATTTATTTAAAGATGATTAAAGAATTAAAAATACTTATTTTCTATAAATAATTTATTATTATTAATATTATTATTAATTATTAAATTATATAAATTTAAGTTTATCTAATAATTAAATAAAATAAAAAATGTTGAATGAATTTCCAACAGAAATATTAAATAATATCTTTACCAATAAAATTTTATCTAAAAAAGATTTAT